CATCTTTCTGAACTTAATTTCTAATTCCTCCTGTTTTTTTTTTCTTAACATGTGCTTTCCAACGTAGCTTGGATTCTAACGTCATACCCAAATATTTTGTTGTATTTGCATAAGGTATTTGGTTTCTATTTATATGTACTGGGATATGTTGTTCTCTATTGTTAGTAAAATTGACATGAACAGATTTTGTTTCATTCAATTTGAAACGCCATCGGCTGGTCCAAATGTTAATTTGTTCAACAGAGTTCTGTAGCATGGTAGCTGCATCCTCGTGGTTTTGTCCGACTGCTAGAATGCATGTGTTGTCTGTAAATGTCGCAATTGTGTTAGGTTCTAATGCTGGAATATCGCTGGTATAGAGCAGGTATAGTACTGGCCCCAGGACACTTTCTTGTGGAACTCCAGCTTTAACTCCTCTTAATACTGAATATGCTTCCTCATATTTAACTCGAAAGTGTCTGTCGGATATATATGATTCTAGTAGTTCAGAATATTGTTTTGTTAAGTAGCATCTCATTTTATGATACAGTCCGTCATGCCACACCTTGTCAAAAGCCTGCGCTACATCGAGGAAAATTGCGGAACAAACTTTTCCTTCTTCTAGAGCTTTTTCTATGATATTTGTTATTCTATGCACCTGATCTATCGTTGAGTGGCTTGCTCTAAACCCAAACTGATAATTAGGAATTAGATTTTTTTCCTCTATAATCGGTTTTAGTCTCTTCAAGAGTAATTTTTCGTATAATTTAGACATGACAGGTAACAGTGAAATAGGGCTATATGAAGAAGCTTCTTGTGGAGGTGTTCCTGGTTTTAACCTAAAGGAAGCGTTTATAAGATGTGTTAATTTTATAATAGCTTTCCTTGGAAGTTGCTTTAACACTTTCCCAGTAATTAGATAAAATCCAGGAGCTTTCTTTGGATTTATATTTTCTTTTATTTCCAAATGTTGCTTTTTCTGTTGATATTTTTCATAATTTGATTATTATTGTAACAAATCTCCATCAATTTCTTTATTTCAATAAGTCCATTATACATTTCAATTTTATACAAACACACAGGTACTTAATTGTCAACGCTAAAACAATACAGGAATTGTTACACAGTCAACGAGAGAAACCAACAAAAAGAACAAATTCAATCCAAGAAGCAATAAAATCGAGAAAGCACCTTTTTATGGTAGAAACGCAACAATGTTGCGAAAACTAATACACCTGCAGCCAAATGCATACCGTACAATAGAATTTCACTGTACTATAAGATGTTTTTTATAGATCGGTGCAAAACGATTAAAATTTCTTTCCCATTTGCGGTTAGTCAATTCATGTTCAAAAAGATAATGGGCTGAGTTTGGTGTACTCGAGAAAAGGTTTTCAGAAATGGTTTCGTCACAACGCGTTGTGTATTGTGGCAACATTGAAATGACTATTGGCAAATAAGCCTTAGAGGTAATGGATATACCGCAGTAGTGAATTTCTGAAATATTTATGTAATATGTGGTAAATAATGAGCCCTGGAGGGAACTAATAATTTTAGTGGTAATTGAAGAATGGACATTGTTAATAATTTCAGATATTTTGTACCGTAAAATGGGGTAATTAGAAACAGTTTTCAAGATTGAACATAAATATCGTAAAGTGTTATGAGATGTAACGAATTGAAAGCTACCTTCGTTTATGAGCCGTGCAGTCCTTTACAAACCTACACCATTGTTTTTCCTTTTAAGTATAAGGAAAGAAATTTTAAAATTAAAACATACTGTTTTTTTCCGCTCATCGATTGAGGGGTGAATAGAATATTTCAACTGCAGAACTTGTGATATTTATATAAACAGTCAGCACTGTCATGGAGTGAAAAGACAACACTTAATTTGATAAAAAATTTTCAAATGAAAAAAAGACATTTCTTGCTTGTTCAATTCGCGATTTTATTTCTATGTCTGGATCTATATCTTTCGTTATCCAGCACCCTAGATATCGAAATTTCTCGACATTTTCGATAATGTTACCATTCACGTTTAAAGCCATGGGTGGATGGATGGATGTTTGGAGACAATCATTGTTTTTGTTTTCTTGACGTTAATGCTAAGGCCGTATTGTTCCCCGATTGATCTGACGCGATCTAAGAGTGTCTGGAGATCCTGTGCGTTCTCTGCAATTAGAACCGTGTCGTCGGCGTATCGTACATTATTTAGAACTCTGCCGTTAATTTTAACACCTTCTCTTGATTGCTCTAGTGCTCGTGCAAAGATTTCTTCCGAATATATATTGAAAAGTAGTGGTGACAATACACACCCCTCTCGTACACCTCGCTTGATATTGAATATTTCTGTGTCACCGGCTTCTGTTCTAACTGCTGCAGTTTGGTTAAAATACAGCGTTTGGATAATTTTAAAATCGTTCTTGTCTAGTCCCTTTTTGTGAAGGCAATCCATCAGCTTATCATGTTTTACTTTGCCGAAGGCCTTTTGATAGTCAATAAAACATAAAAAGAGGTCCTTTTTTGGTCTCGACATTTTTGCAGCAGTATAATAAAACTGGTTAATGCTTCCCGTGTCCCCAAATCCATTTCGGAAGCCAAATTGTTCATCACTGATATCCTGTTCACATTTCTTATAAATGCGTTGGTGAATAACTTTCAAGAATAACTTTAACATATGCGACATTAAACTATTAAGTCCGAAATCACCACACTTCTTTGCTCCCTTAGTTTTTGGAAGGGGAATAAAGACTGATTTTAACCAGTCTTGTGGAATTTCACCGCTTGTATATATTTGATTAAATAATTTGACGATTATATTTAAATGTTTCTCTTCCAGTAGCTTTATGACTTCCGTATGTATGTCATCGGGGCCAGGGGCTTTCCCATTTTTTTGCGTTTTTGATTGCTCTCTCTTACTTCTTGTTTTAATATAGGAGGACTGGTTTCATGGTTTTTATATATTATGTTGTTTAGTGGTGTGTCCGAGAATAGTTCTTCTATGTAATGTCCCCATATGTTGTCTAGATCGCTTAATTCCCATATCGTTTCATTCTCGTCGTTTGTTAATCTACAAGGAAGTCTTTGTTTTGTCATTCCAGCTAGATCTTTTATTTTTTTGTGAAGCGTTTGACTGTCGTGTTTCTTTATTAATTCTTCGATCTCTTGGCAGTTTTCTATCATCCAATTTTCTTTTGCGGTAGCTATTTCTTTCTTGATTTGACGATGTATCTCCCTATATTTTTCATTATTTTTATTTTTGTAGGCTCTTCGAGTATCCATCATTCCAGAATTTTTTGTGTCATCCAGGGTTTAGATTTTCTTTTGTTATTTAATGTCTTTTATATATTTCTCGGCGCTAGTAAAAGCATTCTTGACTTCAGTCCATAAGCCTTCTGTAGTTGGTGATAACTCTCTTTGGAGTCTTTCACATTCCTCGTTGATTTTAGTCTTTACCATATATATATATATATATATATATATATATATATATATATATATATAGATAGCGAGTGTTTGCACTTTAATTTTGTCGCTTCCTCGCATCCCAATCGCCATAATTTCTTATCGGCCCAGTCTCCTTCTTCAAGACCTCTATTTTCCATTTCTATATGAATATTGGATATCCATTTCTTTCTTGGCCTTCCCCTTTTATTTCTCTGTGTAGGTCTCCAGTTCCAAACCTTTCGTGGTATCCTTTCTTCGTTCATCCGTCTTAGGTGTCCATACCATTTTAAATTGTTTTTCGGCTATCGTATCCATTATTGTGTTCTTTACTTTCATTCTCTCTCTTATGTTTTCATTTCTTATGTGGTCTTTACCATACTTTGTATATTTTCTTGTTTAAGTAAATTGATGTCGGTTTTTCTTTTGACAGTCAAGATAATTTAATTAATAGATGGTAAAGATACTGTGATCATCAAGGAAACTAATGCTTGTTTTCATACGAGAGAAGGAAGACTTACATTCTTCGACTGTAATTGATTTCGTGTAAAAAATTCCAACATAACCATTGTCTTTAAAGGATGCCTGGAGTTAGTTTACCACCAGAACCTATAATTACCAGATGGGCAACGTGGATTAACGCGGCTCTATTTTACGTTGAACATTTGATGCCGTTAAAGACTTAATTTTGGACATGGAGGACGACGCTCAGAGTGTAGTTCAAAGTAAGGACTTGTTACAAAGTGCAAATGTAGCTAGAAATTTACAGTTTATTAAAGTTAATTTTGGCCTTATGCCAGATATGATCACAACGTTGTAGAGTGGATAATTAAGTTTAAGAGAGTCCATTAGTACCATTGAAACTTTAATGGCTAAGTGTGGTAGCGTTCCGGTAAAGTTGGAGATCAAATAAAGCGCAAAGCGGAAGTGACTTTAACAAAGAATTAAGGGTTTAAATTTTAAAAAATTGTCAAAAATATCTACGAAAATAAGTCTTCTGACGAACATGTGCCATGGCCTTATAGTGTACTGCCAAAACGTCAAATATTGTTCAATTACGTCAGTAGACATTGAAAGAACTTTTTCTATGTCTAAATACATTTTTACTGATAGAAGACAATCATTTTTACTGGAAAACTTCGAAAAGTATCTTGTTGTAAATGCCTTTTATAGTATTTCCAAACGAGGAATTGTATAATATTGTAATACTTTTTTCTACCATTTAAAATAGTAAATAATTATATCTGACTATGTTTTTCTTAATTACTATGTGTATTTTTCCAAATAAAGACCAATTTTTAAACATAGTACTTTTTGCACCCTATTTTGTTCTATTAATTACATCATTAAATTTTACTACATATTGGATTGCATATTTTGTAATAAAAGTCAATATTTGTGCATATTTCTATAAAAAAAAGATGCATATAGATATACAATATACAATAACTGTCATCTTAAAAATGATTATTTCATTTGTTTTCTTAAGTAGTACCACTTAACTGCATTATAAAAAGTGTATCACATAAAAATATCCATGTGAACAATCTAACTAATAGTTTGCCATCTGTTTTCAGGTTCGCCATTAAAATATGTCTAAAACATTGGTACCGCCGTTACTGCCGAAGACCAAACCGCATCTTCTGCAAGAATCCGCATCCACAACGGTACTACCGAACGGTACCACGGCCGTCTCTCTTGTAGACGTGTTCAGTACCCACAAGGAATCAAACAATCACGTAGTTAAAATTCTCATCAGCCCCCAAAACGACAATTCCTCGAAAACCTTCGTTAATTACAATAATGAGGGTAGTACCGAGGTGATTAGTGACACCGCACCGTGCATTAGGATTAACTTGGGTGCCGAGCCTGATGTAGTTCAAAAAAGTGACATGTCGAGGAATTACTTTTATTATCGCGACTACAATTATGGAGCCATGTCCAGTGGGCAGATATCTCCCAGTGAAACCATGGATTCAGGTACTTGCAGTGATTTAGACGGTACTTCGCCCCCTGTCGCGATGAAAAGTAAAAATGGCGTGTCTGTGACTCTGATAGGTGAGTTTTTATCTTATTTTATTGTTAAAGTAGACTGGTGGATAGTGCGTTGTGTGGGTAGTACTGGGAATTCATTCGCGATGCATTTCGAATGAGAATTCTACACAGGTGGTTGGCATGTCGTAAATATTTATCGCTTTAAGTTGATTAGTTCGCAGGGTCGAATTAGCCCTTTACGTACGTACTTTATAATATAAGGAGCAACGTACATTATAATAGTACTATTTTTCGTATTTTCTTTTTCCATTATTATTTTGCTGTAACTTTAACTTTCTTATAGAATGCTCTGGATTATTTCGCTCTGTTAAGGTTTTCTAATATTTAACTTCCTTATTTAAGTGGTGTAATTTTTTTTTATGCATTATCTTTTCTTCTCTGTTATTTGTTTAGTAATTCTCTACAGTTGTTCTAGTTCGTCGGTTAAGTATCTTTCTGTAGGCTTTATTTTTTCTTTTGTTGTATTCTTGCATTCCTCATCAAACCAATGATTTTTACGGGCACAAATTTCTGTTCCTATTTTATCTTTTGCTACTGCTTCAATGTCTTCCTTTATTCTGGTCCAGTAGAAGTCTATATCTGTATGGCCTTCTTCATTTACATTTTAATTCATTAGCCTGTTTGTGATTCTTTCCAGTACCGTTTTACAAGTGTCGCATATCTCAGCTTTTGTACATTCCATTTTTTTGTATCCATTTTATTTTCTTTACTGGTGTTTGAAATTCTAGCAAAATGTTTGTTTCCACGAATATTTGGTAAAGTATATTTACTTTTTTGTTTACTATATTGTGAAATCTCAAAGAAATATGCTCCATGGTTAAATAGTACCATCGGTCAATTAATGTTAGATAGAGATAAAAGCACTTACTGCTTACAAGTTTACTTAAAATATAAACAATTAAATGACTACAAAGTATTGCGTAACTTAGTAACAGTCATGACCATAAGGGAGAAAAAATCTCTCAAGGCAGGATCTCCCGGTACGAAAGCCGCTTTGTTCTTCAATATTTTGTATCTGTCTTTCAACCCTCTTCTTTAATATTCTGCCGTACAACCGGCCCACAGAGCTCGTCACACTAATACCTCTATAATTGGAACAGTCTCTTTTATTCCCTCTCTTATATATGGAGCTTATATAAGATTTATTCCAAACTTTAGGAATTTCCTGGGGACATTTATTAAAAAGGTCTACCTACTATTAATTCTAAAAGTGCAGTCGGTCCATATTTAACCAGCTCTATGGGAATGTCTCCAGGATCTGCGGCTTTTCCGTTTTTAACCTCTTTTAAGGTTTCCGTCAATTCAGATAATATTATTATAGGGATTTCCTGTCTTTCGTCTCTGTTGTCTATTAATTCCCTTATCTTGTCCCATCTGTACTCTACTTTATCCTCTTTCAGCAATTTCGTATACTATTTCTTCCCATTCATTTAACTTTATGAGAGAGAATATTGCCTTCATTTTTCTCGTTTTTCCTAAACTGCTTTAATGTTTTCCACGCTTGTGCCACTTTTGTTCCACCCATAAATCTGTCTAGTTCATCACACATAACCCCCCAGTTTATATTTTTCGTCCTATCTACGTCTTTTTTAACTTCTTTATTCCATTTGGCGTATATTTCTCTGCCTTGAGGATTTTTGGATTAAAGCCATATGTGATATGCTTGTTTTTTCTTGATAACTTTCTCTTATAGTTCCGTTGACAAACATTCAGGTTTTTCTTTTTTCCGATTTTTAACTTTTCCCAGTGCTTCATTTGCCGCTTCGTGAATATATTTTTTAATTACCTCATACAGACTTTCAGTTGGAGCTCTTTCCAGTTCTTGCATTAAGATCACCTAAGATCCAAATTTCTTTCTTTTTATTAATTGTAGCCAGAACAGTTGTTAACTTGTTAAAGTACTCTTCCTTGCTGTCAACCCTTAAGTCATCCGTCGGTGCATATGTTCCAATTACCACTATTTCATGGCCATTTAATTTCCATGATGATATTTCTTTCATCTATTTCTTGCCATGATTTAATACATTTTTTCAGTTTCTGATGTATTGCTATAGACACTCCCCTTTTAGCTCGTTCGCTCTTTTCTACGCCACTATAGAAATGCAGGTATTCGTTTATCTTTTCATTTCCTCTTCCTTTTTTCTTTACTTCAGTTAATACACAGATGTCTAGTTTCATTTTACTCAGTTCACGGAAGACCTCCTCTTGTTTTGTCCTTATTCCTTGTATATTCCATGCACCCAAATTCATAGTCCATTTTCTTTGCGAATTTCGTTTATAGTTTAATCCGTCCAAATTTCAAGGCTTTTTGCTGAAATTTTTAACATTTGATCATTTTTTCCGAGTATCGAGGAGTTGGCTCAATGCCTCAACCCCAACTTGGAGGACCAGGGTTTTAAGTCAGAGTATCCTTCTCTTGGATAAGTTGCCTTCTCTGCGGCTTAGGAGTTCTATCTCCCCACCTGTTGGTCCGCGGGTGGTATTTTATTTCCCACATACCCGCCGGCCTAGCTGCAAACAGGCCGTTGAGGGCATTCCTCTATCCGCCACCTGGGTACGCCCCCTCTAGGGTTACAGATTCCCCCGAGGGCAGTCAGAATTCTCAACATTTGACAAAATTCTATGGTATCAGCGTATCAGCTAGCAGTATTATTCCATAATGACAGACGCGAGGTTTTCCAGACGTATTCGCTTTTCGAATTTCTAATATTTTTTCGAATCAAGCCACCTACTGTACTTTGTATAATAAAAATCATATATTTTTTACACAAACCTTTGAAATTACAAATTAAATCCAACAGATGTTAAATAGAAACCAGTTTTTTAATAAAAAATAACTACACGAAACATAAAATTCTAAAACCAAAAAAAAGTACCTTGACAACAGTTTGGACAGGATCATTATTTGTATCCAGTCCAAGGCAATCTTAAAAAATCTGGTGGAATATTTGAAATCACAAATTACAAACCACTTGTTACATAATTTGATATTATACATAAATTTTCACACAGACAGAAATTAGATCTGTATTTCGCAATGAATTAAATATTCAAAATAGTAGCATATTAGCTGTGAATAGAAATTCTCTCAAATTACATTGCCATGTAATTGGTACCTACCAATCTAAGAACGAAACAGGACCGGAGTAAAACTAAATTTTGACTTTGACTTTGCTTAGATTAATAGAGTTAAATTTATAGACAGTAAAAATGATTTTGCATTCCTACAAATTTTCTTTATACAGTCCTTTTCAGATAAAACGATCCACCGCAAATAACTTTTGAACTTCTAATTTTTAGGAAAAACGGAAAAAACACATCAATTAATATTTGAAGGGGGAGATATTATGTAATATTTAAGTAATAGTACAATTGTAATAGTACAATCTATTTTGAAAATTCTTTGTCGTAAATCATCTAGAGATTCTGGTTGAGTAGCATAAGTTTTTGATTTTTTGATAAGAAGAAATCTAGGGGTGATAAATCGGGTGACCTAGGGACCAATCCATTACCTGTCCATCGACTGAAAGTCGTTTCGTTTAAGAATTATCGCACAGGTAAAGCAAAGTGTGGAGGAGCTCCATCATGTTGAAATACAGCCAAATCTTCGGAAATAGTGATGAAGAAGACTTCGATAATGTGATCACCTAGGATACAACACCATACGTTTAACCTTTGAGGATGCTGTGTGCAAAAATTCACGTAAAATATGTGGATCACTCTTGGCCCAGTATCGGTAATTATGTCTGTTCACCAAACCATTTAATGAGAATGAGCATTCATCCCAGAAGCAAATATTGTTTAACAATTGTGGATTGTTAATGATGCATTGTCTTATTAATTCGAAAAATTAGAGACGACGATCAAAATCTTCTTCATTTAACTCTTGTAATAATTTAATTTTATATGGATGAAATTTAAATTTATGGCGGACTCGGAAGGATGTAGAAGATGAAACACCGATTACTCTGCTTATTGTTGACAGTAATCTGTGATTGCTCAGATTCTAAGTTAACTTGCCCTAAAACAAGTACTTGTATTGCTTCATTATTTACAAGTCCCTCTCGGTTATGTTTTTTATTGCAAACTGACCCTATTGCTCTAAATTTCTGCATCAGTTCAATCACATACTTATGAGTTGCATGTCTATTGTGGTGTGTTTCATTAAAACTTTTAGCACCTTCTCTTGCATAATTATTATTTTTGTAGTAGGTATAAACCTACAATTTCGATTCTTTCTTGCAAAGTATAAACCATTTCAGCGATCAAATTGCACACGTATCAAAATAGGTTGTTACAAGTCATAACATAAGTTTTTGTTTCTTGGTTTTTGAAGGTACTACAAATAGTGCGGTTAAATATTTAAAAAGTTAAATTATGCTACAACCTATTTTGTTACAGTCAATAAAAGTGAGAGGGATAATTGTTAAAAGAAAAATTGTCTATCTCATAAACTAATGACTTCAACCCAAATGCATTATACATTTTTGAAATCAGTACAAAAAGGAGAATCCAAATATAAAATAAAAAAAGGGGTAAGTTATTTAAAAAAAATAAAGGGATAATACGGGGGATGAGAGGATACATTCCCCAGAAACCATTAATATGATACAACGTCTCCCCCTTCAAATATTAATTGACATGTTTTTGTGTTTTTCCAAAAAAATTAGAAGTTCAAAAGTTATATAAGGTGGATGGTTTTATCTGAAAAGCACTGTATATTATTTTAATGTTACGTCTTGTATCCGATTTTGATTTTTTGCTGCTTCCCCACATCAACTATTTCTGTCGTTTCATTCCTGCTCTCTCACAGACACTTTTAACACAGTTTCACCTGGTTCGTTTCTCGATGATCTTTCAATTGTCTAATCTCTTTCTTCCATGTTTCGTCTTTTCTTTAATTGCCATAAAATTTGGCAAGCCTTCACTAAGTTAGCCCTTTATAGCTTGTTCTACTTTTTCTTTTAGTATATTTTCGTACAATTTTCTGTACAGTTTATTTA